AGTCCACAAGTCTTAAAGTTGCCAAGGTTGGACACCCCTGTGCTAGCGTGTTTTGGGACACAGTACAAGGATTTGGTTATAGCCGATAAAGCCCAATTTGACTTGAAACAAGCCAGCAAAAAGACCATACTGTGTCTTAGTGTTACGTACTTAGCGTTACTCAGGCATTCAGATTTTCTCTTAGGCTATCAGGTATACACTGGCAACATGAGAAGGCTTTTCTCAATATTGTTAGCAAGTTCTGAAAAAGTTTCTGCTAGAAGGGATTAAGTTAACTCCCCTTATGTTCTTCTAACAACGTGCAACACATTTTTATTTAGACCAGTGCTTCTCAACCTCAACAGCTTTTAAGATGTATGAGCTTCAACTCCCAGTATGCTGGGTAGGGAATTTTAAGGACACCTTGGATGTTTTGCTACTTTTTGTTATACTTCCATTGTTTTAAATTGTGGGGGGTTTGTTCCATAATACGGTTTAAATTGTGTTTTTAGCCAATCAATAATTCATGGATTTTTGAAAAGCCTAAACCCTATAATAAAGACGTATTTTGCAAAACAATTTTTAAGAAAAGTCACATACCTAAGTTGGTATCTGCCCTTATTAATAACTGAGTCTTCTGATTGCTGGAGGGTTTTAAATGTAACGTTCCTACTCCCTTTTCTTTAAATTCGTTATCTTTCTTGTAAAAGACTTTGCACCTAAAAGAAAGAAAGAAAGAAAAAGATTGGGTCCTGCAACATTATCTTGGGACACATATTTTCGCCTTCATTCATTATTAAAAAAAGCACATTGTCTGGGAAGTGAAGGTACACATATTGAAGATGCCCTCGACTGAACCTGTACCAAGATAACGAGTTAATGTTTTTTTTTTTAAGTATCTTGTATTAGTTTTCAAATATTATTCTGGAGGATCTACAGAAATCAATGAGTTCTTTTTCATTCTGACTGAATCACATGTCAAAAGGATTCAAAATTCATGTAGGTCACTTTCAGGAAATAGACCAGAAGCAGCTGAATGAAGATAAATACTTCCATTAAGCATATTCTGTAATAAATGCAACCAACTGGTAAATGCAAGCAGCTGAGTTGTAAAGAAACAGAATGCAAGCGATACAGGTAGTCCTCAAATTATAATCCAGCACTTAGCGACCATTCAAAAGCTCTGATGTACCTACCTGGGGGTTACACACAACCCAGATTCAGAGTTCCATCAGTTGCCCCTCCCCATGGTCCTGTAACCACACTTCGGGCACTCAGGAATTGGGCTGCATTTACTGTGATTTGCAGTGTTTCCTGGCCATGTGACCGCATTTGAGAACGGTTTTGTCACAAGCCAGCATTTATTTCCAGTTTCTGGCAAAACCATGCCCACAGCGAAGCACTGGGTGACTTTATGATCATGGTGTTCACTTTAAAAAAAAAAACTTCATAAAATTGGATCGGTCACATGACCCATCCACTTTACAACCATGACCAGGTATGAATGTCAGCAGCAGGCTCCATTAGGGTCATAACTTGAGGATTTCCCACATAGTAGCTAAAGCAATTGAGGTAGCCGCATACCATGTTATAAAACTTAGTATACGCATAAAGGTAAAGATTTCTCCTGTCCAGTCATATCCAACTCTAGAGGACGGTGGTCATCTCTATCTCTTAGCCGAGGGAGCCACTCTTGTTTGAAAGCATTTCCGTGGTCACGTGGCCAGCATTATACCCCATGGCACATGAAAAGCTGTAACCTTCCCACTGATGTGGTACCTATTTGTCTACTTGCATTTGCATGCTTTCGAACTGCTAGGGGGTCAGGAGCTGGGGCAAGGAACAGGAGCTCACCCATTGTACAGCACTTGGGTCTCAAACCCGAGCTCTCAGCTTTCCAGCTGACAAGCTCAGCAGTGTTAACCATCAACCCATCGTGCCCCCTTTTGATACATGTACACAATGCTGATCATGTAGCTTTACTTGCAAGCCCCAAAGCAACTCACTTCTTTGAGTAAAAGGCGTCCTCTTCTTTGACTTCATTAATGACTACTTTGGGAGGCTCTTCCTCCTCTTCATCAACCCCTGCTGGGAAAAGTATTTCAGATCAGAATTACATTTCATGCCAGAAACTTTACTGTTTGGGAAACTGTACTGCTGTATGTAAAAAAATCTTGTTGGGTGTGGGCCCAGAATGAAAATATATGGAAATATTTCAGAGGCATTCAAAACATTTTGTATTTCGAAACGTTTGAAGCTTAAAAACAGTTATTTCCAGCCTGAATGCCAGCTCTTTGTTTTGTTTCTATCATATCAAGCTCATTTCCAACCATTCCTACTTCCCTCTGGTAAATTGGAACATCCCACTTTTGAATTTAAAGGGTGTACACACCTCTTTGATGCAATTGGCTCAAAACTGACCAATTTTTAGGATCTTTAGGACCTAATCCCAAGCATAAACCCCAAGACATCCAATCAAAGGAGGAGGTAGGGATGATGGAAAATAAGAAAAATTCAAATTCGAATGTCCTAGGACATTTAGGAAGCATACCGAGGGTAAGACATAAAGGACTTAAGATGCCTACATACTAATGCTCAAAGTTTGGGGAGCAAACGGGATATAGTTCAAGTAAACTTGGGAAAGATTCCATGGATGAAAATCTTAAATGGGAAAACAACTGAAGAAAGTTGGGCGACTCTGAAAAAAGTGATGATAAAAGACCTGTCCACCACAATGCCTTTGAAAAAGAAAAGTAATCAAAAAAGAAACCAGCACTCTCTGATAAACTGAAAGACAAAAAGGATACATATAAAGGATTGGAAAGAGGACACATAACTAAGGCAGAATACCAGCATATAGTCCAAATCTACAAAGATGAAATCAGGAAAGCTAACACTCAGAATGAACAGAGACTTGCAACAAATTTAAAAAATAATTAGAAATATAAATTAAAACAGGCAATAAAATGGTAAGAGATCACATGTCCACTCTAGATGAGTTCAAATCACCAGGATCAGGTGGATTACATCACAGGGTTCTGAATTAGCTGGTAGATGTGATCTTGGAACCATTGAACCATCTTCAACTACAGACCAATCAGCCTGATATCAACACCTGGGAAGATCCTGGAAAAGATAATCAAGCAACAAATCTGCGAACACCTAGAAGCAAGCAAAGTTACAACCAGAAGCCAACATTTTATCAAAAACAGATCATGCCAAATATTATTTCATTCTTTGTCAAAGTGACTAAATTAGCGGAACAGTGAAATGCTGTGGATATAATATACTTGGATTTCAGTAAGGCATTTGACAAAGGAGACCACAATCTACTTCTTGGTAAGACAGAAAAATGTGGGATAGACAACATCACCACCAAATGGATTTGTAACTGGCTGACAAACCACACTCAAAGTGTAGTCCTTAATGGAAATACATCTACATGGAGGACAGTAAGCAGTGCAGTACCCCAAGGTTCTGTCTTCAATATCTTCCTGAACAATTTAGATGAGGGAATAGAAGGAGAACTCATCAAATCTGCAGACAACACCAAGCTGACAGGAATAGCCAAAACCCCAGAAAACAGGCTCAAGATCCAGAAAGATCTCAACAACATGAACATTGGTCCCTATCTTATAAAATGAAATCCAATGGTTAGAAATGAAAGGTTTTACACTTAGGCAAGAAAAACCAAATGTACAGGTACCATTAGGTGAAACCTGGCTCAACAGCAGTAACTACAAGAGAGATCTAGGAGTCCTAATAGACAGCCACTTACATATAGCCCGCAGAGTGCTACAGCAGCCAAAAAAGCCAATGCAATCCTAGATTGCATTAACAGAGGGATGGTTTTGGTAAGACCACGCTTGGCATCCTCCACCTAGTTTTGGTCACCACAATATAAAAAAAGACGTAGAGACTCTGGAAAGAATACAGAGAAGAGCAACAAAGATGATTAAGGGGGCCGGAGGCTAAAACATATGAAGAACAGTTGAAGAAATTGTGTTATGGCCAGTCTAGAGAAAAGAAGGTCTAGAGGTGACATGATAGCAGTGTTCCCATATTTGAGGGGCTGCCGCAGAGAAAAGGGGGTTAACCTATTTACCAAAGCTCCAGAAGGCAACACAAGAAGATGGAAATTAATCAAGGAGAGAAGCAACCTAGAACTAAGGAGAGATTTCCTGACACTGGGAAGAATTAACCAACGGAATGGCTTGCCGTCAGAAGTAGTGGATGCTCCACCATTGGAGGTTTTCAAGAAGAGATTGGACGGTCATTTGTCCAGAATGGCACAGGGTCTTCTGCTCAAGAAGGGGATTGGACTAAAACAGAGGTTCCCAACCTTTTCAGCTTGGCAGACTGGCGGGGGGGGGGGGGGGAGGAGAGGGAAGAGACGAGATAGTTTTGTGCAACGGCAAGCGCCAGAGGTGGCCTTCAGCAGGTTCTGGCCAGTCCTGGAGAACCGGTAGCGGAAATTTTGAGTAGTTCGGAGAACCAGCAAATGCCACCTGGAGATTTCACAGTATCCTTCCCCTGCCACGCCCACCGAACCGGTAGTTAAAAAATTTGAATGCCACCACTGGCAGGCACCCATTATGAGCGAGCACATTCCATTTGTGCAAACGGCGCACACCACTCGTGCAAATGGAGCTGCACGCGCAAGTATGCTCACCTGCTTGCGCGGCCCGGTTTTGAAGAGGCCACGGCCCAGAGGCTGGGCATCCCTAGATTAGAAGACCTCCAAGGTCCCTGGCAACGTGGTTATTTGGCTATTTAGGCATCGATAACTTGAGTCCTTTTTGTATACGTTAGCAGGACTCCGGGGAAAGTTTGAGCCAGGCTTAAGACTGCTTGTCATAGCCTGCCAGCAGAAGCACAAAACACGCTCTGGCTAGTAGAAGGCAGCTTGGTGGCTGGGGACAAGCCACGAGGGGCTACAAAATGCTCCCTGGCAGTCCAAACAATTCCTCCCCTGCAGCTTCTCCCTTTCGATTCTCTGCAACAGAGAGAGATCGGGGGGGGGGGAAAGTACCTCGCATTTAATCTGGACACTAATGGACATGCAGCCAATAATCACCCCTCCCCAAACAAATGTGGTGAATGTCGACTCTCAAAACGACACTAGCCGAAGCCCTATTTTCTTGCTTTCTTTCTTAGTTGCCATAATTATTGGGAGGGGGACAGAGGGAGGGGGCTATGAAATGTACAATGCTTTGCTCCAATGTGCCCCTCATAACAAAGATAAGGGCGCCTAAGAACCAAGGCCAGATCTACGCACCCCAGCAGCGGCAGGAGGGAGTGCTGCCTGCTTGGTTGGCTAACGTGGCCTGTGACACAAGGGATGGTGGTGGACAGGATCTATTCTTTAATGATACCAAAAGCGTGGGGATTACTCAGTGTTGGTTTTACACCTGACCGTGCCGATAGGTTGTACCCAATATACAGGATTTTTGAGGAAGCCAAGGCCTCAGAGTCTTGAATTGGTTGGGAGCATTTACTCGGAACCATGACAGTGAATTTGTAAACCTTGACAGTCCAACCCCCAAACGAATGCAGGGACAGACCACCAGAGAGTTTAAATGGGACCACAGCGTTTCTCAATCTCTAAAACAACATCATACTCACCTTGTGCGTTGCCAGCCTTTTCGGCCGGAGTGTCTAATGCATTATTGGAAAAGGAAGAAGCCACCTTAGCCTGGCTTGCGTCTTTGCCAAACAACCCTCCATTTCCAGAGGAAAATGAGAATCCAGACCCGGTCGGCCCTGAACCCGGACCAGATTTGTCACTTTTGTCAAAAATGAACAAGGTGGTGGTGGAGGAGGAGGAAGAGGCAGCTGCCGGTTTGAGTTCTGTTTTCTTTTCCAATTCCGTTTTCTTCCCAGGGGCCTCCTCCAATTTGCTGCTGTTGAAGAAAAACGTGGAGCTCTGCGGGAGGTTCGTGCTCCCAAACGCAGGGCGAGGCTGAGCTTCGGAGGCTTTGCTGCCGCCGCCGCCACTTCCAGAGCTGCCGTTGCCATCAAAGCCCTGTTGCTCTATGTCAGCCAAGTATCTCTCATAGTCATGGAAGATGGGGGTCAGGTCACAGAGCGGGTTGGCATTGACATGTTTGACTATCCAGTCCCGTACAGAACAATTGAGGGCGGCCAACTGTTTATGATAGCTCTTCGAGTTGCAGGCTTTGGTCTGAGTGAGTCCGGGAGACAAGGGCTCTGGATTCTCACTATTGGCTTCCGTATGTGCAGAGGACTTCTCAACTCTAACATCATTTGCTGAGCCTCTGGAGACCACAGAATCTGGAAAAGAGGAAAATATCGAAGGACTGCTATTACAAACCACCTTTGTGGAGAATCACCTTTAAAAAAAAAAAAAAAAAAAGCAAGGGAGAGGCCTCCAAAATCTAGCAGCCTGTCTAAAAGCCACATTACCTAAACAAGTATGAGGCCAGCATTTTGATAGAAAGAATACTGAAAAAAAAAACAACCAGAAAAACCCGAACAATATAATCTTTGGACTCGCATCCAGCATCCTTCAAGACGTCAGAATGATTAAAACTCTAAGGAAAGTTCTATTAAATTAAACCACCTGTTGCTTTCTTGGTAACAAGCTTAGCTCTTTGCAAAATGGATCTTAACAAGCACTGCAATGTCTGCTGTCAAATAACAATATTTGGGGGGCTGGGTTGTTTCAGGGATTGCATTTTTAAAATATTAATAGAAACGCCCAAATGTTCAGGGACAAATTGGTAGCTTCATGATGAAGGATTTGGAAAAAAAATAGATTTCTCCAGGATAAATACTTCAGGTGAACTAATGTTCAAAACACATACTGTTCTTCATCTTTCCGCTGGAAACCGGTAGAAAAGTTACCCTTTTGATTGGGGACAATTTATAGCTGAATGTAAGGAATATAATCAGAGGACAAGCACAAAAGGGGCCCAGAGCCTCATGCAATTTAAGCAGCAGCGTCATATCCAAAAGCCAACCAGGACTTCTGCTTTAGGGATGGGGCAGGACAGGTAGAAGGATCACCCCACCTTATTGTGCCAACCTTCTTCACTCCGATGTCTACTGTAGAAAGAATGTAGTTTTCCCACAGCCGAGCAGCGGGATGTGGCAGGCTGGCTGACCAAGGAAGGAATCCCTCTTCGGCTGATTGATAATATTTTTTTTACTTCTGTTTCCCTACCAGTCACAAAGAAGGAACTCCCCCCCCCCCCCCCCTCCCCCAGCCATCACAGAAATGCAGGTTTATAAACAACTTAGTTCAAAAGATGAGCAATCTGTAATTTCTATGGGCTTATTATATTATATGAGCCTGATGATGCAGTGGTTAGAATGCAGTATTGTAGGTTAATTCTGCTCGCACTGCCAGCAGTTCCATTCCTTCAATCCTGACCAGCTCAAGGTTGACTTAGCTTTCCATCCGCCCAAGGGCAGTAAAATGAGGACCCAGATTGTTGGAAACAATATGCTGTAAACTGCTTAGGGAGGGCTGTAAAGTGGTACATAAGTCTAAGGGCTACTGCAATTGCTATATACATAAATCTGCTCTAACGTGAACAGTGTTCTCTTCCCCAACATCTTTATTACATTCATCATACTGAGAGTAACTTTCTGAATTATACTGAAAAATAAAAGGCATGAGATCAGAGATAATTGAATCCATTCTTTTCCTGAGACCAAATTTCAAATTTAATAATCAGAATTGAGGATATTAAGGATAGAGGTGTTTTTGTTTTTTTTAAAAAATCCCATGATAGTAAACATCTCTTTAAAAACAACCTGAAATAAACCTGCATATAATAAATAAGATGCAATTTGGAGACAGGTAAGCAGATGATCAGAGGTTCTAAAAGCAGGGTCACCCTCTAGCCAGGCCTTGGGATCATCACTGAGCCCTTGCAAACCTACATGAACCTCATTTTCAACCCTCTTGAGATCTGGATCCAGACTCAATAAATGATTCAGATAGCGCTATTCGAATTGTAACCAGATCCAGCCGATTGGTATTTCTTAGTAACAAAAAAGCACGAACACTCATTTTCTCTCTTAGAGGTTCTATGTTTTATCTAACAACTGCTGCCTGTTATGTCTGGAAAGGTGTGAAGAATGGGGTCCAAATGGCACTTAGAAGAAGTACTTCTTTAAGGATGCAAAACATACATCACAACCAAAACCTTCCAAGAAAGGATCTTGCAGAATAACACCGAGACCAAGGATGGGTTTTGCAGCGTACCCCAAGTTCCAAACAGGCCCTCAAAACTTGGGGACTCAGTTCCAATGGCAATACTGGATGGAGGTAGCCCTTGACTTCCCACCATTTATTTAGCAACTGTTCAGTTACAATTTGAACAAAAATTAAGATGTGATCAGTCTTCGCACTTATATCCATCTTGCCATCCCCACAGCCACATGATTCACATCAATGTCCCAAAGATGCTTTTGGGACTTTTGAGTCAACTGGATTTTCTGGTTTTTCTCTGGGGATGTTTCGCTTCTCATCCAAGAAGCTTCTTCAGCTCTGACTCTTCAGACATTTAGCTATATCCACTTTGGGATGAACCTCCTTCAAATGGTGAGGGAGTATGAGCGGATTTCCAGAAAAAATTGCAGACTACAGGAACCATTTGCGCTTCAGTTTGAGATGCAG